GTTACCAACATCTGGTGAAAATTTATGTCATTAGCACCTCTAGTAATATATTTACTGAGAAAAATGGTGACGTGTTCAATGCTTATTTTACCCGCTGTATATACTTGTGCACTTAAAAGGAACTGTAAGCAACCCTTTTGGGAAATTTGATTCTGAGTGTTAGATTGTGATTTGACAGTAACAAAGAAAAACATCAAACGGCTTGGGATTAATTGTCTGTTGTTTTTGGTAATGAACAGCTCTGATTCAGAAGTCCAGATGCAGCACATCTGGACTTTGTTTGGATGACTCACAAAAAATGTTTTGTTTTGGTTTTACAACCACAATCCTCCCTATTTTTGATCTATAATTGGATAGTTTTAGTTGGATGTGGTTTTATTTTGGGGAAAACAAGTTTAATATTTATGGAGAGTCAATTTAGTAGCAGTTCTGCTTATTCTGCATCACATATTTATTAATAAAAATTAAACTTTATTTTGGGAAACTGTGAAGATTTTCCATATTGACACAAAAATTAACATTTTGAACCACTGTTCAGGAAAAGTGGACAGACAATCAATGAATTAAGATTGCTGTAAAACCACAAACATCTGAAGACAGTTGAGGAAAACAYCCTCATTAGGAGCTATCTATGGTAAAGACTGAGTCAGAACCTCACATGTTGGAACAAACTGTCTCTGTATGCCAACACCTTGCATGTTTACAATGTCCTTAAACAAAATCCGCCCACAAAAAAGACAAACTTTTACAAGCAGACACAAACACATTCCCCCCAAAATCAGTTAAATTCTGTGTATTCTACCATTTACTGTGGTATTTCATATCTTTGCATCAAAAGAGTAACAAATCAGCATCCATTTAGTGTGAACAAGTCAGAATTGGTCTGTTCTAATAAACTTATGTAGCTCTTTTCCTATTTGCTTCCTCAGACTTCATGATGTATGCTTGTGTTTTTTATGCAGGACTTTTCCTGTTAAAAGCTCCTTGTTTCACCACAGTYTAGTCGATAACGTGAGGCTGAAAGATAACCAGTCTTTATGCAGACCTGGTTTTTAATCTGTTTTTTTAGAGCTTCAGGTTTRGACCTGTCTGTATGATAGAGCCCTGGGGATTCATGACTCATGGGAAGTGAAAGCAGATTTTGGTTTAAAAAGGAAATAAATTACACTGCAACTAAGATGAAAGCAAGTGACTGTTCACTGTTTACTTTGAGCCTGTGCCCGGACACAACTCGAAGGTTTCACTCATAAACATTGTTTAGTTTTTCCCACATTAGTGTCGCTGCTTAGTGCCTAATAGGCACTGAAGTTACTGACCGCTCAGATGACAGGGAAACTGCAACATGCTCCATGACCACACAGCTAAGATGATGTAGACCAGCTCAGGAGAAGTGTCTCTGCAAAAGACAGACAGATGCAAGTCCACACTTTGAACATTTAAAAAAAGGATATTTTGAAGTAGGGCTCTGTGGAAATGCTGCAAACAATTAATCTTACTTGCTGTAGATGATAGTAGGTTGATTATTTTTTTACTTTAAACTTGAAAATTCCCAAGAACAAAGTATTTCTCTGAACAGAGGCTCGGTTTACATGAGAAGAGTCTCTGGAGACGTTAGCGTTTTCCCCATGTTGACATGTTTACACCATACATGTCAACCCATTCTGACGCTTACCTGAATCTTGATCCTCAAAATTCCATAATTAAAAAAAAAATCTGCAAAACGTGAGGCAGAGGTAACAGTGCCTGCAGCGCAGAGGAGCAGGGAAAGGAGGACGAGGAGAGGTGGACAACTATTTTTTTGTTATGGTTATCTAACTTTGTTTGTTTGTTTGTTTAATGACCTACAGACTCTGAGGCGTAAAATAAATTTGAAGCTGAGTTTTTGAAAAAATCTGTGAGATTTCTCTCTACGTCCGTACACCTGCAAAATGGGGTAAAATCTGTGTAATTTACAAACAACCCATACAGTGTGACGTGTGTGTTACACTGTTGTGCTTGGATCTGTTGTAGCTTCCATGCCAGGTCACAAGCTGTTGCTGTGATTTTTGTATTTCCACGACACGCACACATGTAAGACTCTTCAGTCCCAAGCACTAAAACGATGCACATGCCCATGTTCGTTTGGACAAAAGATGGATTGCTCCTACACATTATGAAGGATAAGTAGCATAAACAGCACTCTGCTATCCGCCATTGCTACTGTTGTTCATCTACTCATGCAAAAAATAATAATAATAAAATAAACAAAAAAACATCATTGACTGCAGTCTTCTGTAGTGCACAATTTCACACCAAACTTCCATTTTAACTCATGCAATCAGAAAGTTTTGATGTCAGAGAAAATTATAGTGTAAACACAAACAGCCTGAAAGCAGCAGGAATGTAGAGGTTTCACCTAAAAATAGCATCATATAAACAGGGACAGAGGATTTTTAAAGAGCTGRTTGTAACAGGTAAGATGTGAATTATTCATAAACCTTTCCACACAAACCCAGTGCCTCAATACGCAYTTTTCATGGCTCACTCAAACGATTTGATTGAAAAGCTGAGAAATGTGRACAACGTGTGGAATAAACGTACGTGATGTCATTCAGCGTCTCACTAGTAAATTCCAGGATGTCCGCTGCCGTGCCCACAAAAATCAGCAGCAGCTGAGACAGCTGGTCTTTTGTCACCCCGTCTCCCAAGGGGAGCAGCCACTTCCCCAAGATGAGGAGGATAAGCAGGATCTGATGAAGAGCCAGGATCCAATTATTTGGACAGAGCGCCTCATTAACATTCTGGAAGAGAAGAAGAGAAGAGCAGATATGGATTTGAACTTAAGAACATTCCCGCGACACCTTGATCACTTCAGTCAGGATTCTTCTMGATGAAAAACAAAAACACAACTTGGAAGCTGTTTGACTTTTTTAAATGAGTTTGTTTGTGTAAAAGATTCACCAACAAAGATCCCTGCAAACAGCTCAGTGGTCAGAAAGCTAAACGCAGAAACACACTGTATCCTAATGTGGTCCATTATGTGCAGAAACATGGTCAGCTGGCTCAGAGTGTTATGTGGCCACAAAAGCAGTCATTTGGTTAACTTAAATATTCATACTTTGCAATTTTTTTAAATTTATTGAGCACTTATCTTTTAAATGTAGACACCATGTCTGTAGTTTCAGATTGCAACGAGTAAAGAAACACAACTCAGTGTTGTTTATTTTACATTTTCTTATTTTTATACTTTATTGATCCCCTGATGGGGAARCTAATTCTCTGTATCGCACACGTGAGAACACATGTGGAGCAGAGGGCTGAGGTGCCCAGGGAGCAGCTGAGGGGTTAAGGGTTTTGCTAAAGGCTGGTCGATCCGGGGGGAGTTGAACCAGCGACCTTCCGATCACAGGCTCACCTTGACTGGTGAGACGACTTATTATCAAAACAAAATGAAACAAATAAAAGGATAAACATTGGATAAGTTAGATCAGTGTTTCCCAAAGTTGGGGTCGGGACCCAAAGTGGGGTCCTGAAACATCAAGGTGGGGTCCTGAAACATCAGGGTGGGGTCCTGAAACATCAAGGTGGGGTCCTGAAACATCAAGGTGGGGTCCTGAAAAGATTTTCTGAATTAATTACATTTTTGCCCTAGTTGTTACAAAGGAGTGAGGTTAGTGTATTTAAAATGGATAAATTGTTACTATTCCCATGTTTTGTTGACCTGACACAAATGTTTATCATCCAAAAGTAGTTGGGGGCACAGGTCTCTGCTACTGTTATTTTGTGGGTCAAAAGCTGAAAAGTTTGGTAACCAGTGCACTTTGGTTCCCAAAGTTGGGCTTGGGACCCAATTATGGGTCATGAAGSACCTTGGATAATCTCCAGAAATCAATTTAAAGGGTAATAAAATAATTGCCGATGTAATATTTTCCCTATAATTATTACAAAAACACAAAATAAGTAAAGATAAGTATTTATATTTGTGTACAAGCTGTTTAGATTGTCAAAAAGCCTGTGTTTTTAGGATTATTAACTAAGTTTGTGTACTCAGACCAGTAATATTTGGGGTCACAAGTTTTTGCCATRGATATTTTTTAGGTCAGAAGACAAAAAGTTTGGGAACCACTGAGTTAGATCACTGCACACTGTCTAATGTGATATATTCTGCTCGAATCTGTCAAACAAATAACAGTATCCAGTCTGTGTGATCATCTGCAAATTAATATAAAGTATATACAGCACAATAGACCATTTTGAAGTGGAGCTCACACATTTTTTGGGGGAAAAAATGCTGATGTTGCTATGCAAACACCACTGGCAAATGTATGCCAGACTCGATGTATTTGCTCTAAACTGATTTTTGTTTAACTTCCCTTTAGATCATAGATGAGATTTTTCCAAAATATCTAAGTTATTAATCTGCKTTTCGAGCTTATTGAATTAAAACTCCATTGATATTTTCGTAGCAGCCTCAACATTTTCTCGTTGACCTGTAACCTGCAGTTATAGGCTCTACCAGTACTCACAACACAAAAATGGTCTATTGAACATCTATAGGGTTTTGAGGGTTAAACTAAAAGGTGGCAGTTTGCTCTTTAATGGGTCCTCTGCTCAGTAACTGATAGCTTTAAGAAAATCTCTGATTCTCTGTAACTGTTTTGACTTTTCTGTCCACTGCAGGTAAGATGCTGACTACTTAAACTTGATTGCAGAAAACAGCTGAATTGCTTTAAAACAAAAACAGCATTTAACGTCACCTCCTTTAAAAGAGTTCGACTCGTGACAAGTCAAATTTTCTTGTGGAAACTGACAACGATTAGAATGATGACATTTTAGGTTGAAACGTGACTCAGCCAAAAATCAAGCCGCATCACAAATCAGATGCAGATAACTCGAAAAATAAATGCAAACCATAAAGGTTTCACTTCCTCGAAGGCGTTCTGTTGTGTTCCTACAGAAGTGCAGCTTTCCAAAGAAAACATCCAGAATCATCTGAGTGCAGAACATCCAAGTTTCTGGTCTCTTACCTTCAACAAAGAGGGCAGGGTGAAATTTTCAGACGTCGCGTTCGTCTTGAGAATTCTGCTCAGATTTTCCACCCCATCAGTATAGTTGCACTGAGAACAGAGGAAAGAAACAATTATGGACTGCTGTTATTATTATTACTACGAATGCTAAAGCTATCAGAAAAATAAAATGTGGACAGAAACTGCAGATTGAGAGGCAGAGAATTCTAAAATCAGCAGGCAGCATCATTAATGTTTATTTCTGGTTTGAAGAACCTTGTTGTCAGCAGCTTTGTTCTGCTGGTGGTGAAGCTCCAGGATCCAGATGGACGGGACGATGCTTATGAGAAACAGGAGGATTGTTGGAGAAAACCTRCGGGAGAACAAACAGGACTTCAGATTCAGATTATTGAACCAAACCGATGCAATGTGAAGATTCTCTGTAACAATAGCAATAAATTCTGCTCATCTTTTTGTTACAACCATCTTCATTCTTAACATTCATCTCTTACCACCGATTCATCAATAAAACCCTTTATTGATCACATTTTATGGTCCCTTAAAAGGCTTAATAAACATTTTTCAACTCCACTGACAAGGAAAAGAACAAATATCTGTTTGATCATCTTTCTCGTGCGCAGGACATCCCGTTGAATTAAAAAGTTTTTTTTTATTACGGATAACAAACAGTTCTGCCTGATTGCTGGAGGGATCCTGTTTGGGGAGTTAAATTTCCTGAAATGACAGTTGCAGTTCCTTTTCACTGGCCCGGGACAAATGCAGGCATGAAAGCAGGATGCAGGGGTGCACAGAGAAGAGATTAAAAACAGCAACAGCTTAGATTATTCTAGACACCATGGTGCACATTTGCCAAGCAAAGGAATTAAGTTAACAACATCTGATTGCATCTTTTCAAATTCAAATTTTGACAACACATTTAGAAGTGTTTTTTTTACCATTTGTAATCCTTCCCCTCCTGGTTCCTCAGAGTTATTATCATTTCAACAACGAGCGGCAGGAAGAGGAATGTRAGAAACCAGTAGTAGTGGCTTTCTTTGACGTACGCCACCCTCCAGACACCGATCAGAGAGACCAGGATGAAGAGAGTTCTGGTGATGATCACGCTCAGGAAGCTGAAAAGGCCCATGATGCTCCTCAGGTCTCGCCCAGCTGCTGACCGCTGCTCTCACACAGACACAATAAAGCAGGCGTTCTCTAAAAAAGTCCCTAAAGTTTGTAGCTCCGCCTCGAGATTTTTTTTTTCTTTTCTTTTCTTCTTCCTGCCCTGACAGAGAGAAAGTGGATGTTTCTGATAACTGCTGAGTGTAATCTGAGCTGGGTCTGAGGGTTCATTCAGAACTTTTTTTTTCTTCGTGTGTGATTTATGTCTGGCAATTTGACATCACCACTTTGTGCACACATGAGGATAATATCACAAAAGGAAGAGCTTCAAACAGAACAAACACATCCTGTGAGGTTTTGAATTCCTGAGAGTAAAATAAAGCAGGACCACAGCTGGAGCCTGTGGTGGATGGACATTCATGCTATTTTAATGTAAATGGCATGAGATTACTACTGCTTAAATATTTCATCACGTGTAGTTTTATGGGTTTGTAATGAGTTTAGAAATAAAGTTTACTGTTTTGTTTTCTGTTAAGTGGAGATGTAAATTACAAAAACAGAAACTTTTCAAAGATTTTTCTTCATTTTGTGGAGTGACTTACCTTTTTTGGTTTATTTTTTCTCAATAAAACATTTTTTTTGTTTGAAACAAAGCTAAAAAACTCTGAATCTTTCCCCCTGGATCTCTCCCATCAGTGGATTGATTAAAAACTAAGATGAACTCTGGACCGGTTTCACAGAACAAATACAGAATTAAAAAATAAAACTAATAAAAAAAATTTTTAACAAACCTGCCTGATTTTTTTTTCTTTTCCCARAACACAAACAGCAGGGCTCTCACCAAGAAAACAAAAACAAAAACAAGAAAAACAAACCAGAAACAAAAAAATAGTTCAATAAAAAAAGTAAAATCAGTAATAAAAGTTGACTGTGCACATACACAGATGCGCATATAAACATACTTTATTACACTTGTTTTGTTGCTTGTTAATCAGYAAATCGTGTTTTTTAGGCAAACAGACTTTGTGATGAACTGAGTCATCAGTGAGGACTCAACATTTAAACAACATTAAATGATGTTGGTGCCAGCAGGTCTGAGTATTTCAGAAATTGTTGATCTCCAGAGATTTTCCCGCACAAACATCTCCCAGGATTCATCGGATCAGTTTTTCAGTTTCTATGTGTCCAATTTTGTTGAATCTGGAGCCTTTCTGTCATAAGCCAAGCTGCAAAACCTTTGACCTCTGACGTCAGCAAGGCCTTTTTGCCAGTTCCTGGATGTTTTCTCCTTTTTTAAACTTTTTTTTTCTCTTTAAACCCTGGAGATAGTTATGTGTAAAAATCCCACTGGATCAGCAGTTTCTAAAATACTGCCATCTGGAACCAAAAACCACGTGATGCAGAAAAGTGAAGAGAAACTTTTAAGTTATTTTGAAGGTCATGTCAAAGTGCATCTGTTGATTYTTACTGCCTCAGCGTTTTGTCTTCTCAAGCTAACGTCATGACAGTGAGGTCAGGACTTTGATCTTGTTTTTTTGTGATGATTTTTTAAATTAATTTTCTTGCATGTTTTGAACTAAACTTGTGTCTTAGAAGAAAGCAAAAGCCAAGCTGCACTAAAGACAAATAAAACACTAAAAAC